GTAGCTGCAACATTTCTTCCTGCCCTGTTTCCCTTTGGTGAGCCTACCTAATAAAAATAAAAATAAAGAAATGGTATAAATGAAATGAGTTCAGTCCTGGTCTTAACCTCAAGTAGGGGTCTGAGGAGGAGGAGCTCATGCATTTTGATTCTGTCCTGGCTTTGCCAAACACAGCATCTCCAGGGGTGTTTCCTCCTTTACACTTGATTTTTGTGAATGGCTCCCTAACTTGCCTGTGATATCAGGGCAGGCCAATGCCATGTGTCCCCTTTTTCCTCTTTGGGCCTTAGTTAACTCATGCAGAGGAGCTGGGCTAATCATTGGTCCACATCAATAAACTACCCCATCTCCTTCCCCTTCGGTCTGGAAGAAACTCCCCACCTCCAGGTGGTAGCTACCTTGTCTCTGCCTCAGCCCCTGTGCTCAGCAGCTGGTACAGCTCTTGCCTGCTGTGTCCCAGCTCTTGCTTCCTGCCTGAACCATTTTATCCACATTGAGACTAAGGATTAGGGTCAAAGAATTAAAAAAGGCTTAGCATGTGTTTCAGAACCAGCAGTCCCTCCACTGAGAACCCCAAGAATCAACTAATCTTGCCAGACATCCTCGATTCTCATGCCAGAAAACTCCCTTCCCACCCTGCCCTAAATGCAGGGGCTATGGTAACGGAGCTTCCTGGGGAAAGGACGTCAGGAATTCCTTTAATACTGGGTCAAAGAAGGAAGCCAGTGAGCTGCAGCTTCTTAGCCAGGAGGAGCTCATTTACACCAAGGAGCAGAGTCAACTGACTTTACAGGCTGCAAACCTGTAGACGCTCAGCTTCTGGTCAGGCAAGGATTCCCATCGCCACATACTGTCCCTATCCCCTGGTCCTTAGGAGCCCAGAACTGAAAAGGTGGTTCTTGAATCTCAAGCCCTGCCTGCCACTGACTGGCTGCGTGATCCCTGAGCTGTGGGCATCTCAACTGTAAGCAATTAACAGTAGTAGTAGTAGTAGTAGTAGTAGTAGTAGTAGTAGTAGTAGTAGATTTTGAGGGGTATTGTAGGACTGGAGAGTCACTGTGAGTGTCCATAAGCCTCAGATGTTGCCATCAGCTCTGTGTACACTGCATGGCGTCCAGTGCTCATACACAGCCAAACTGGATTCTTGCAATAACACATTCAGGAAGCTGCCATTGTCACTGCCCCCATGTTACTAAAGAAACTGAAGCTAAGAGAGGTTTAGTGGCTTGTCCAAGAATAGGCAGTAACACAGACAAGAGCTCAAGCCAAGTCTGTCTGATTCTATCTAAGCCTTTGCACTTCCTGCTATACCACACCACTTCCTGGAACATGCACACACACATGCACGCACACATGCACGCACACACACATCCCACAACACTACATCACATCAGAATGACAAAGAAATGACCATAGCACAAAATGGTGAACTGTGAACCTCATTACCCAGGGATCCCAAATATCTTTCAACCAACCTGTTTCCCACTTGAGTACAGGGACTTCATTTTTGTACCTTACCTGAAAGGAACAGCGCACAGCTGTGAATACACAACAGGCACTGGATGGATGTTTGCTGGAATTACATGGAAACTCACGGGGGAAAGTGGAAATGTGCACTGATTCAGAATACGTTATCAGTTGACCCAAAGCAGCACACCATGAATTTGCTACAGCTCAAAAGCCTGGCCTCACCCAAAGTGTGTGTTTTTGGAGACAATGAAGGTTCTGACTTCAGGCTAAACATCTCTTAATCTTATCAAGAATATGCTGTGAGTGAAAAGAATGCTATCAGGGCCTTGAGTCCTCCATGTTGCTGCTATAAAACCTACAAAGTAGATGCCTTAAATTGGACATGATCTCAGGTTTGGTTTGCTTTTTTCTGGGTCTTACGAAGGATTCTGTCTTGATGCCACCATTTGGGCAAGAGATATGGATATTAATGAAAATTCTAAACCCATTGGCCATCTGAGGATGGAGGAGAGAGGGAAAATGGTTTTTCTATAGTGGAATCAACAAGGGGTGGTATCTGGATGTCTTAGGTGGGGGCAGTGCTACAGTTTGGCATGTTTTTGCCCCCAAGGATGCATGTGTTGGATTCTTGGTCCTCCATGTAGTGATGAGAAGAGGGTGGAGCCTGGTGGCAGACAGGCCCCTCCCCTCTCTGGCTTCCTGGCCTGTCATGTGATCTCTCACAGGTGCTTGCCCTCTGATGCCATCTGCCACAAGATCTTCCCCATAGCCCAGCCATGTTGGCCCTATGCTTTTGAATCTCTAGAACTGGGAGCCAAATAAGTCTTTCTTCTTTATAAAGTACCCAGTCTTGGGTGTTTTGTTATAACAACAGGCAACTGACTAATATGGGGGGGTATTCTCATGGTCCAAAGCAAATGGGGTTGAGAATGAGTGAGAAGAAACCATGGTAGTCAGCTTTTCATTGCTGTGACAAATACCTGACATAACTCAACTTAAAAGGAGGAAGGGCTTATTTTGGCTCATGGTTTCAGAGGTTTCAGTCCATAGTCAATTGACACTGGTGTTTTGGGCCTATGGTTGGCAGGGATGCATAGGTAGAGGCCTGTTTATCCCAGGGTGGCTGGGAAGGAAGAAAGGGAGTGGGGTATGGGGTCAGAGCCTTATATCCCTTTTGAGGGCCACTCCTAGGGACCCTGCTTCCCCTTACTAGGCCTCCCTGAAAACCCATCTCCCAACAGATGAGTGTTTGGGGATACCCCAGAACCAAACAGTAAGCTGGATATAATCTGGTTTATCTCTAGAGCTTTTGGCCAAGGTGTTCCTGGCACACAGACATTGGGCAACTGTTAAGTGTCCGAGTACCTGATCATGGATCATCTTTCTTTTTTTTCAGCTTTAATTGAGTTTATTGGTACATTTTAGGGATACAGTACAGTTACATTCATTGTTGGGATCTTGTACCTCTACATGACAAGTCTTGATTTTCAATTTTTCCCCTTACCCCTGCCCTCCCTTCACCCCCTCCGCCCCTCCCCATCTACAAACACTTTATTTTCATCTTTTCATTCTCTCACATATTTTTCTTTTCCCTTATTACCCTTCCCCTACCCATCCCACCTTCCCTACACCTTTAGCTCCTTTCTTCCCATTTCTAAATGTCAGTAATCTTATTAGGATCTTATGTATTACATCTCTCTTCTTAATAGGCAGTGCACGAGAGAGGTTGGGACCATGATGGCTTAGAAGATAGGCAGTAAAGGGGGATGATGGTAAAAACAAACTTTCCTTTGACTCCACAGTTACATCAGGATGCAGGTTTTAGTCTGGGCATGCCAGAGAGACGGAATTTCTTGTTGCATGAAGAGACTCATGGTTTGAGAGATAAGAGCAGAGTCTAACTTTTGTTGTTGTTGTTGTTGTTGTTTGTGTTTTGAGATAGGATCTCCCTATGTAGTTCAGGCTGGCCTTGAACTCACGGCAATCTTCCTGCCTCAGCCTCCTGGACAGGTGTGCACCACCAGGCCCAGCGATAGTGTAAGATTAAGGAAGCCCTTATTTAACTTCCCATCTGCCCCTCATAAGACCTTTCTGATCTCTGACAAGTTTCTCCACCTTGTTGAGCCTTAGTGTCCTCATCTGTAAAGTGAGATCAACACCAGGATGCACCTTGAAGCGGAGGTGACAGGAGGTCATGCTCATGGAGGAATGTAGCTGAGTGTGGGGGTGTGCACTGGGGCAATTAAGAGGTAGTCAATAAATGCTGGCCACCACTACTTCACATTATTGCTGATAAGAGTATCCTAAAAATGTATTATGGAAAAGCATTATTTTCCCATGAAGTGTAATCACATGTAGTGATTAATACTTAGAAAGAGCTACTTGGTGTATCTTGTGACCAATTCCCCAAACAATCCCATGTAGAAGGCAGGACAGACATGACTGCCCTCACACTGCAGGTGAGAAGACAGAGGCTTAGACACACGAAGCATTCTCAATTCATAGCTCAGTACTCTGTCCATAGCTTCCTGGAGGAACCAAGGGAGAAGCAAGCAGGGAGAGGCCAGGGAAGCCAGTGTATCCTGGAGAGAGGGCAAAGAAGTCTGCCTTTACGCCAGTCTGCTGCAGTCCCTTCCTTCATTCACTTGATGGGGCCTACATGGACCGTGCAGGGTATGACCTGCAGTTTGCAGAGCACTGCAGCAGGGATCCAAGGTCCCTAGCTCCAGGGAATGTCTGTGCTGCAGAATAAGCTGGGGTGTCACTCACCTCATTGTTTGCTTGAATTTTTATTGTGGGGATTTCAAGTATATAAAAAAGATCAGGTGAGAATAAAATCAAATGAAAGTAGAAGGAAGTTCTCAGGACTAGTTCTTCTCCCACACCAACTGGACTCTGCCTATAACATGGGCTAGTGTCTCCAATTCCAGATTGTCTTTTAAAGGATATATTTGGGGGGGTATTTAAAATAATCCAGACTCCCTGATTTGTTACAGATTTAGATGAGCAGGTACAGGCAGACTGATCCCACACAGGATGCAGGAAGGAATGAGACTAGAGGGAGGAGACCATGTTCACCAGTCCTGGGATGAGAGCAGGGATGCTGTGCCTCCAGCCCCAGGTTCTCCTGTTGCCCTGTACCCTGATCTACAGCAGCTGCCCGACCACTCCATTCTCCTGTGCATAGGCAGAAAGCGTCTTACTCAGTTTTCCCAAAGCTGAGCATAGGAACTGCCTACTCTAGCAGATTGTGTGCAGTTGGGACATTCAGTTATTCTTGACTTTCAAGTTGTCAATGTCATGACTACCTTGTATCTACTAGGTGTGCAATAAATGTCCGGTGAGGAAATAATATAGAGAGGGTCCTAAGACCACCATCATGGCAATTACCAAGTTTGTATCTGGTGTTGAGTGCTCTGCAGTGCTCACTCAGTCCTGCAGGTTTTGTAAACAGAGCCAGGGCACAGAAGTCCTGCAGCCAGATGAACTCCAGAGGGTGTAACAGAGAGGGGAGCATGGCTCCTGCTTACCTCTTGGCTCTATCTTTCTCATCTTCATCCATTAGATTTTCTATGCAGTTTTTCCTGAAAAACAAAACCAAATCCAGATGATTACGGTTTGTGTCTGGGTCTTTCTCACAGATCCCCTGTCATCATCATTTTGTCCTATCTAAATGGCATCCCTTAGTCCCATAGCTCTCCAACTCTTTGGCCCCGGACCCCTTTGCACCCTCAAAGTGTACCAAGCACACCTGGGTACATGGATCCATATTGGGAAATACCCTGGGAGATACATAAGCACTGTGCCCTAGGTGCTACAGCAGTTATGTCATCAGATGTTAAGTGGCTTCTAGAAAAACCCACTATACACTCATAAGAGGTTTGTTGTTGTTGTTGTGGTTGTTGCTTTTTTGAAAAGCAAACAGTTCTTATGAAGAAATGTTTTGATCTTATGGACTCTGGGGTACCTCAGAACACACTTTGAGAACCACTATGGAGACCCAGCAGTGAAGCAGCTTCCAGAAATCTCATGCCCAACATCAGCAGGTACCTCCTGGTGGATGCCTGTGACTGGCAGGTGACACGGCACCGGGCCTCATTCATACCTCTGGCAGGAGGCCAGTCACCATGACATCCTAAAGCACAGAGTGTTTTGTTTATCTTCCTATTCAGGTACACAAAGGCTCTGCCCTCCTTCCAGACGGTTATAATCCACAGACCTCACCTGGACACACTCACACTCACGGATGTGAGATTAGGTAACAACCTAGACATATTCTCACTGCCAGCATCACCAGGGCCTCTCTCCCTGCCAAGAGCCTCTGCCATTGTGCTGCAGCTCCAGGACCCTCAGGCACAATGACCCAGTTTCTCCTCCTGCCCCATGCAGCCCTGGGATTGGGTTACTATGCAGATGCTCAAAGCCCCATCCGTCACCAGCACACTATGCAGAAACATTCCCAGGTGTCATGAGGCCAGAGCTTTGGGGCACTGGAGATGGAAGGTGGCAGTGGTTGGGAGGCAGTAACTGAAATGGATGGGTGGGGACAGCAGAGAAGCTGTGTCACCCTTGTTCCATGCTTCATTTTCAACAGAGCATTTGGGTTCATATTGTCCAAATGTATGTATTCAATGCACTGGCAATTGTGCTAGGAAGTTGTAGATAATTTTGTGCATGTGTGTGCGTGTGTGTGTGTGTGTGTGTGTAATCCAGGGTCTTGTGCATGCTATGTAAGCATTGTCCATCGCACTGTAGTCCAGCCTTCAGTAACAATGTTAAGGGAGCTTGCTCTGAGGTAATGCAGCCTGTGATTCTCATCACCCACATGCACAGGAGGACAGGAAGCTGAAGACCCAGCCGCTGTTCACGTACAGACCCCGTCATCATATGGCAGTGCACAGACTCACAAAGAATGTGCTCAGTAGCTGTATCACAATTAAAATGGGGATAACATCTGGAAACAGACAAGTGCTTAATGTCTTCCAGATGCAATCTACTCAGAGCTTTAGGACATGGAAAACAAGGTGTCCATTCATTAAGTGATGCCCCCCATGAATCCTACTCTCCCCAGGGAGGTGGTGGTGGCCAGGGCCCCCAGGGTAGGGGTGAGTATCCCCCATGAGCCCTGCCTGTGGCAGCCGCTGGACAGAACGAGTTCTCTGAGGGCTGGCTGGCCTGAGGTGCTGGGATCCTGTTTGGATGACAGGGGTTGCTTAGTCACAGGCTAAACACTGAACAGTGACTAATAGCTACTCTTTATCAAGCCAGTCTTCTTTGATTTATATCTGTTTATCCTTAAACATTTCCTGAATCCATGAATCCTGGATGAGCTACGCCCACTTCCTTTCTTCCCAGCCCCTCCCAGGTCTCTGCCGGATTCTGCCCACTTGAGCCCTGCCTGAGCCATTTGGCTACACTGTTGCCATGTGAGGAGGGAGGTCTCAGCTACCAGAAGCACCTGCCACAGAAGCACCATGCAGGCATCTTGTTTTGTCACCACCACGTCTTCCCCATGCATTTTTATGACTTTAAAAAATAACAGTGAAATACACATAATAAAATTCATCATAACCATATGGAAGGCATCAACCAGAGGCATTCAGCACACACAGCTGTGCAGCCGTCCCCACCATCTGGCTATAGAAATCTCTTTATCTTGCAAAACTGAAACTCTACATCCCTGAATCTGTAACCCTCCGTTCCCCACTCATGTTGTTGGCAACCATCATGTTGTTCTCTGTGGCTGTGGATCTGCCTACTGTACAGACCTTATGCAGGCGGCATCATACAGCATTTGTCCCCCTGTTCCTGACTTGTTTCACTTAGCACAGTGTCCCCAGTGTTCATCTAAGTCACAGCATGTGTCAGAATGTCCTTCCTTTTGAAGGCAAAATAATATTCCACCACATGCACGGACCACATTTATCCACTCATCTCTTGAAGGACATCTGGATTGCTTCCATTTCTTGGCATTGCGAATGATGCCACTGAGAACACATGGCACATCCTCCTGTATATTTATTTGTGGCTCCCCCCTTACCTCATAATATGGAGGAGCTTGGAGAGGACCAAAGGCAAACAAGGACTCAAAGCAGGGAAAAGAAGCCCTAGGAGGTCAGGTTAGAGGAATAGCAGAGATGTTTAGGAGTAATAATGAAGCTTAGAAATTCAGGCTAATGAAATGATAAGAGTTTCATGACTCCTCTCCTCAAGTGTATGTTTCTAAGAGGAACATTTTTGAGCAGCTATTTTTGACCACAGAGTGCCAGAGAAGGGAGAATGAGCTTCAACAAGGGAAAGCTATGTGGAGCTGAGACCTGTTGATATAGTTAACCCCCAGGTGAACCACAGAGGGATGCAGGTCAGCACACCTACCTGGGTCCCGCATTCCCAAGGCTTGTGAGTCAGGGACCCAACAGAGGACAGATGGCACCATAAGCACACTGGCAGGAGGACTGGTTCATAAAGGACTATATGTAAAGGGGTGGGCAGGGACAAGGGGACGAAGAAGGGTGCTGTTGTCACCCAGAAGTGGGAATAGCGATGCTAAGGGACAAGAAGGAAGTGGTTTCCCAAGCCTGAAAGAAGTGTGTCAGAGAGGGGAGGAAGCTTTTGGTTGTGGGATACAGCCAAGAAGGGACTCATTCATGGGAGTGAGTTCCCTCCTCTCATTCCACCTCATCCCAAGAAGCAAATATGGAGATTGGGGCGGGGGAGGGTTAGTTCCCACATACTTGGCACTCACTTTTCCAATCACACTGACATATGTTATTAAGTGAAGTCCATTCTTTCTTGAGATTTTCTTAGTTCTTACCTAATATCTTAGTACTTACCTCATTGCTGGGACAAAATACCTGACACCCACAATTTAAGGAAGGAGATGTTTATTTTGGCTCAGTTTGTAGATGTTTCAGTTCTTATTGGCTGGCTCCATGGCAGAATGGCATGATGAGAGGGGCTGGGCCAAGGAGAGCTGCTTACCTCAGGGCAGACAGGAAGCAGAGAGAAGAGGAGCCAGGGAGGGCGAGAAACCCTTCCGGGTCAGCTCCCAGCAACCACCTCTTCTGACCTAGTTAGAAGTCAGCTGTAAGCTGCCATAAGCCAGTCACCACCCACAAGCCCCACCTAAGAACCTATGAGGCTCTTAGGGGACATTTAGATAGAAACCATAACATCTAATGTCCTTTTTCTGTCCCCACTTGCAACACCACACCCCATTTGTGACACCACATGCCATTTTCTTGCCATGTCCCCTTAGGCTCTTCTTGGTCTTGCTAGTTCCTCAGACCTGCTCTGTGTTTGAACACCATGACTATTCTGAGAAGCATTTGTAGAATACTGCCCAATCTGGGACTGTCTGATGTTTTTCTCATGGTCAGTCTAGACATGACCCTCACATGAGAAGTCTTCTAATCTTGTACTATCAGTGTGACGGCTCACAGGGGTTGTAGACCTTGGTCACCTAGCTGAGAGGTAATAAACTTACTTGGAAGCTGTGTGTTACTTGTACTTACATGTAGTATGGGTTGTTTTTTGTTTTGTTTTGTTTTTTTTGGTACAGTAGATTGAACTCAGGACCTTGTACTTTCGAGGTAGGTGGTAGAACCACTGAGCTAAATCCCTGGCCCTGTTTTTCTTCCTCTTTCAGATATCCTTTTACAGGTGAAAAACCTCTAAATTTAAAGCACTAAATCCAATTATTAATCTTTTAAAAAGCACAAATGCAAAAAAAGCACAAATGCAGTTTTCCCCGTGACTGAAGACTTTGATGTGTAATTATGTCAGATTAATGATTGGGTCTATGGCCCTACACCTAGAGGTGCTTCACCTGGAAATAGTGAGTGTTTCATTAGAAAATATATCTACCTGCTATTTAAATCAAGTTCTCTTTCCCAACTCTGCCACTCCCTGTGCCCACCTGGATTTATGCTAGGGGCACAAGGGGTTCATTCCAGCAGTTACATAGCAATTGTTGACATCAGTGTAGCCTGAGCTTCCCACAGCTGCTCTTCTCTTTCCAGTCTGCCCTGGCCATTCTAGGTCTTTGCATTTTCATGCAAATTTTGCAATTAGCCTTCTGTTTTCTATAAAGATGCCTGCTGTGATTTTGATTATGCTTTTATTGGACCTAGAGGTCAATGTGGGCGAAACTGTCATTAGCAATGTTGGGAGCTCTGGTTTGTGAACAGGGCATCTCCTTGTAGTTGCTTCTCCTTCCAAGTTGTGATGAGGTGTTTAAGCAAGTTCCACACATGGAGAACTGTGCCTTCCATGTGTGATGCTCAGTAATGCCACAGATGGTCCCCAAGGGCTGGGACAACAAAGATGCAAGGAATGGGGGAAGTGTGGTGTTGGGAGGGCTGTGCTGGGGTGGGGAGTCTTGTTTTGGTGTTTTAGGGAATCACAGAGAGCCTCCTGGAGCAGATACCATTGAAGCTGTGGCTGTGGGAAATGGGACCAGCCGAGGACACACTGGAGAGCTCTAGACAGGAAGAAGAGCCTGTGACAGCCAGGAGCCAGCATGAAGTGAGGAATGCATCCTGGGAGATAGCTGCAGTCTGGCTTTGGGAGTTCTAAAAAGAGGAGTGACAAGTCCTGGTTTTGGAGGACAGTGGTGGTTCCAAATGAAGGTCAGTTTACAAAGCTTGGTCCCAGCAGGCACTCAGAACCAGGGTCTTTACTGCTCTGACGGAAGGTTAGCATAATGCATCTTCACCTATTTTGTGACGTCCAGTCATAGCAGGTGCTCAATAAATGTATAAGGAATGGAGAAAGGAAGAAGGGAAAGGAGGGATCAGCCAGAGCCGAGCCTTCTCTGAATCCCCATGATTGCTTGACCTTCCCTCCCACAAACTGTCTGGTGAGCTTGGTCGGTCCAGGAAACGGCTCTTGTGAATCTATCTGATGGTACAATTTTATCCTCCTGACTTCAGTAACTGCAAAAACCGGGCAGGAGTTTTAACTACAGAGAAAGCCTGGGATAGGGATGACAGTAGTGCCCGGTGGGTCCCTTGCCAGCCATTGGCTGATGCCAAGTTCTGAGGAGAATTTTAATCTTATCTCCATCCAGTTCTGCAGACTGAGTGTGGCCCTAGTCATCCTTGCTGACCCATCTGGATACATCACCCCCAGGTGGGTATGGACTTGAGGACAGAGGGGACCCAGACCCCTCTTGGCTCTTCCCCCACACTGCCACACAGGATGGGTGGGTTTCCAAACTCAGAGCCTCCCAATTTAAATTTCCTTGTCAACCCACTTGGCCTACAACACGGAGGAAGTCCCTTAAACACAGACACACCATTTCTCTCATTGCCAACAAGAGGCTGCTATGTATCAGGCAGGAGGTGTGTGCTCTTGTGGAGCACGGCCAGCCAGTGTGAGCCTCACCCCTACCTCTCCTGACCGTCCTGCCCTTTTGACGCGTGCTGTGGTCACGTGGCTGCTGTTGTGGCAGGTGACGCTGGCATCATCCTTTCTTCTTGCCTGTTTTGAATTTCTTTTTTCTGTGCGCTTTATTTTTTAAAAAGCCAATGCATAATAATAGTACATATTTATGGGGAACAGTGTGATGTTTTGACACATGTGTGCATTTTGTAATGATCCTATCAGGGTAATCAGCATATCTATTATCTCATTCGTTTATCATTATCTTTGTGGTAGGAACATTCAAAACTTCTCCTCTAGTTATTCTGAGGCACACATTATTGTTAACTACAATCATCTCACTGTGCAACACCAGGACTTTTTCCTCTTAGCTCCTAACTTTGTACCCATTGGCCAGCCTTTCTCCACTGTGCCCTTCCTAGCTGCTGGCGACCTCCATGTTACTCTCCACTTCTATGAGATTAACTATTTCAGATGCCACATATGAGTGAGATCATACAGCACTTGTCTTTCTGCATCTGGCTTATTTCATTTAACATAATCTCTCCAGGCCCTCAAAAGTAGACATACGGTGGCTCGACAGGTACATGAGAAGATGCTCACTCAATAGTACTAGTTACCAGGGAAATGCAAATCAAAGCCACCGTGAGATATTATCCACTCCAGCTAGAATGGCTGTGATCAAAAGACAAAAATAACAAAAGCCAGTGAGGATGTGAAGAAGAGAGAACCTTGGTACTGTTGGTGTGAATATAAATAAACTTACTACAGCCATTATGGAAAACAGTATGGCAATTCTTCAAGAAATTAAAAACAGAACTACCATATGATCCAGCAACCTAACTCCTGAGCATATATCTAAAGGAAGTGAAATCAGTATGTGAAGATATATCTGCACCTGTACCATTCACAACAGCCAAGATTTGGAATCAACCTAAATGTCCAACAATGAATGAGTGAAGAAAGAAAATGTGTCATATATACAAATGGAAAACTATTCAGCCATAAAAAGGATGAGATACTACCTAAAGATAGACCTGCCTTGAATATCCATGAACACATCCTGTGCACAGAATAGGTTGCCAGGGGTGAAACAGACATGGACTCTGGGGGTCACAGAGACCTAAAGCATGGTAGAAAGACAAACACACACATACACACACACACACACACACACAGTGGTATTATCTGGGGTGGTAAACCTGCTAGTGGTAGCTCAACAGGAATGTAACAGGCCATTTTGAGGTTATGAGGGAGGGAGGGAGAGAGAGGGATAGAATAGATGTTCTTTTCATAGTAAGTCCTCAATAAACATGGATTGATTTTAACTGGACTGGTGGCCAAGAGCAAGGGATGCTGATGACATTCACATAACCAGGTGAGATTTCTGTCCCAAGGACTCCAGAGCACTCCTTCTCACAGCCACTGACTACACAATGGACCAGAGCCCTGGCACTGAATGGATGGGGATTAGCAAATGACAATGTGACTATTTTCTTGTGCCACATCTGCCCTGGGGTTCACAGGGGTTCTACAGGAAGACATGAAATGAATAAATCATGCAGGTGCCAAGGACTCTATAGGGATGGGCAGCTCACTCCTGGGTCGACAAAGGAGATGCCTATGGTATGCATGGAAAGGGCAGGTTCTCCTGCTAAAACAGGGGTTGGCAACACTTTTCTGTAAAGGGAGACCTAGTAAATGTTTTAGGAAAGGACATTACAAACCTTGTTACAACTGGTCTATTCTACCATTGTTGTGGAAAACCAGCCATTGGTGATATGGAATGAATGGGTATAGCTTTGCTGGTCCATATTAAAATATGCTAGACTCACTACTCCACTTTCTTCCTCAGTGTCTTTTAATTCAGATTTTGTTGGCACAGTCTGTCTAGGCCCAGTGGAACACGGTATCATCTTGAATTTTCTGTGAAATGACTATCATAAGCCTGTCGTGATGCAAGGCCAATGTTTTTACCAAACAAAATCATGATATTTTCAAATTGGCTGTGAAGTGGTTTGAATTACAGGCCTCAGGCCAGCTGAAAAATCCCAGTACCTGCCCCCCACCCAGGAAACCTGGTGCATTTAGTTATTAAAAAGAAAGAATACTGAACACAAGAACAAGCTGAAATCAAGAGAGGCCAAACCAAGCACATACATCTTATCTTCCAGATTAGCTGGGTTTATTTATCACCAGGCAGGATGCCTTCTGTCCTCACAGTCAGCCCTGGTGTGAGGCCTCCTGTCTTCTTGGATGTGTGTCTGTGTCACATGCATGGGAGCTCAGTAGTGAGTTTTCTTCATTGTATTTAAGAAATAAAAATGTTCTGAGGCAGTCACTGATGAACTGTGATGTATTTTGTCTCCCTTTGCCATTTGGGGAAGCTAGGAAATTACTTCCACATTCTGATTCTTCCTCCCTGGGGAATGGCTTTTTGGGTCGCAGTGATTCATTTGTCAGGGGAAAAATACAGTTTGTCTAAGGGAACGGGCAGTGAACACCCAAGAGCCAGCTGCTCTGGTGATACCAATGCCCCTTCAGCTGAGGAATTCTCAGCACATTCCTGGAGCCAGGCCAGCAGGCCAACCTTGACCTTAGCCCACGGTAGCACCTGTCCCATCAGCAAAATCTCAGGGCCCTTGGTAGGGCCAGATTCCCAGAGAAAACTGGGCCCAGACCCTTGCTGAGCTCCCAAGACTGTCACCTAACACCAGGATGCACACTTAAATAGCAGTGCTGGGTTTTACCTGCCTGTGATCATCATTTCTCCTTGCTTGCCTTTTTCAAAGGGGCCGGTGACTCATTATTCAGGGAAATGGCGATGTAGGCAATGAAGGAATGGATGGAGAAAGTTAGAGAATCTGTCATTAAGTAGGTTTACTATGGCATTGTTTGACTAGCAAAGAATTTTCAAAGTAGAAATGGTCACAATGTCTGTGTTGAAAGAACATCTTCAGGTGACACATTCTTCTTGCAGCCTTTGACACGTGTGTTCCTATCATTGGCGATTCCTTCCAGGGGTGCCTTTATGAGGAGTTCAGACTACACAGTGTCATCCTGAGTTGACTGCAGGACCCGATAGGTGACAGTATGTGGTCAGGGTGTGGACAATAGATCCCTGCAGGAACCAGCAAGCAGGGCAGCAGATGAATGAGTCACACTTATAGCTGAGTCAGTGTGAGCCTTTGTTGGGAGCCGCCGCGTTCAGCTGCCATTGGAACTGAAATGATCCAAAAAGTACAGCTCAGCCCTGCGTCCAGCCTCCTTACAACTATGGCTCCAAGTGGTCCTTTTGAGCAGAGAACCCTCATGCTAACTGAGCTCAAGACTGCAAGGAGAGCCAAAGGAAAAAAGATGTACTCAGAACAAGAGGACAAATTCATACTGGACACCTGGGCAGTGGAGCCTTGGGTTTAATGTCTGAGCTTCAGATTATGTTGCAGAAAAACCTGGATGCTTCTTGAGGGCTGCCAATGGGGAAGCTGCAGAGATCATCATCTGGTTATGACCAGATGGAAGTTTGTTCATCCTCCACCCGCTTCCCTTTGTGGTGGGCAGTGGCACTGTTCGGAGCCTGGGAATGGTGACCTCATCTGTCAGTGGAAGCGCCTGAGACTCGGTTTCCATAGTGGAGATGGGAAGGCATCAGGATGCCTTATCCACGAATTGAACACCTGCTCTTCCACAGCACAGTGGCCAGAAGCTGGCACCATCACACAGGGACAGGCAGGGACCTTGGGAACCACAAGCCACTGGCTCTTTGAAATGGAGATGCGCTGCCACACTATCACCTGGTTGCATAGCTAGGAACTCCTTTGCCCAGCTGGCACTGTCAGGCCCAGCCGGCTTACAGGCTGCAGGTGTTCCATGGGGCATCCAGGGCAGCACAAGTAGCATGGAAATATCTTCTGTCATCCTGCCTGACTCTACTGCACTTTATCCTGTTTAACCTCTTCACTTTTGACAGGTGTCTGTAAAGGGAGATTCCCTTTGTTCCTTCAGTTGCCTCTCCAGTATAATTCAGCACAGAACAGAAGAGGCAGAGGGACGTTTGTTCAAAGGACCTGAGCACAAGGGAGCCAGGAGCTCCTAAGGTAGCATGGAGGGGTATGTCTTTGCCTTGTGTCCCAGGGAGCAGCAGCGACACCTATAGTCCTGCCTTGAAGCCCTTCACCTCTCTTGCCCCCAGGTGCCCCTCAGACTTCGGCCTGCACAATTCCGGGGGTAAGGAGGAAGGTGCACACAGCACTCCCTTTCATTCCATACATACAGTGCATGTTAATTTTACAAAATCCTGGGGTTCACTGTGGCATTTTCATGCATGCATATAACACACGTTGAACCTATGAATGCCCCCATTCCCTGACTCTTCCGCACCTTACCTTGGTCCTTTTCATCATGTCTAACAGTCTTTCATCTACTTCCTTTTTTGCAATTATTTTTAGGAGCATGTGTCTTAAGTATATAATGATTCCATTTCCCAAGGGTAGTTAGCACCTGTATATAATACATCTTCATTCTTTTCCTATCCCCTTCCTTGCCCCTGCCATCTCTCAAGCCTGCGCAATTCTGTGCAAAGGCACTTTCAGAGCTAGGAACTGTCAAGGAGGCCCTAAGCTGTTCCTCTGGAGACCCCAAGAATGAAGCCAAATTTGCCAAACCTCCCTATGCCCTGTCCTATGCCCTCTGGGCTTGGCCCTTGTGTGACCCACACAATGCACCTCACAGACCCATGTCCTTCTGGTGACCCTTGCAGAGTATGACCTTGTTGGCTGCCACCCACACATGCCAAGCCAAGGTCTGGCAAAGCTTAGCCTGTGGACAGAGCAGACGGGAGGGTCCACGTTTCCCACAGACCCTGGAGCTCACCGCTCCTGTTCAGCTAGAGGGTATGTGGACCAGGAAAACCACAACTCAGTCAGTAGTTCTGTCTAGGCCTGCCTATCAGGATGCACCCACTCCAGGACTAAGGATGTGCTGTTGGCTTTGGAATAGAGAGATTTCCAACCCAGAATGACACCCCTTCAGCCTGTGCCAGATAGGAGCTCCCCAAGACTGTTCTGGGAGGTCACCTTCAGAAACACTTGAACCCTTGACCAGGCACCAAGTCTGAAGACAGCCTGGCCCCAGCCAAGAACATTGGACTAGAAAGAGGGGTCCTGAAAATGGAAAACCCCTTCTGCCTGAAGAGAAGGGGCTGGAGTGACATGCAACAGGAGGTTCTTGACCTCCACGGGAAAGGCTGGGTACCACAAGTCATCCAGCAGAGGGGGATCAGCAGTTCTGGAAATGTTGGAGGCCATTGAGATTTTCCCTCTGCAGGACTGGAAAATCACGTTTCCAGATGTAACCAGAGATACTCATGACACAGATGAAAGCTGTCCCAGATCTCCATCCTGCCTCACACCTGTCGCTTTGCCCCTAGCAATGCCAAGGAAACTGCAGGAGAAATGGGGAGGCACCTTTCATCTTTTTTAAAACAGCCTGATGAAGTAGCCCCAGTAAATTCATAATTCATCCACAGGATGACTCCTCCTCAGCCCCAGGTCTGAAGGGCTTGCAAGCTCAGCTTGAAAAGAGCATTCAAGACATGTCACTCAGCTGAGTCAGACAGCAGAGGCCCAGGGCAGCCTTTGAAGGCACACTGCAGTGCACAAAATACATGTACTGTCCTACAAATAAAGCACTGGCTTAGGGTTTCCTAAACATCAGCTTAGTTAATCACAGCCATCTAACCCTAACTTTTCTCCTAAATGACTAACATACTATCCTAAAACTACAAGCAGCAATACAGCAAAAATTCATCAAGGAATGAGAGCAGTCAACGTGGAAGGGCGGGGAAGGGAGGATATGTACATCAGCTCCTGGGGCAGCATGTGACGCCCTGCACAACAAGCTGCCAACTCCAGCCCCGACTCCGGTCACATCCATGCCCCAGCCCCAGTGCCTGCCCCCCATGGCATCTTCCTCTGCTTCCTGTCACCATACTCTTCTGTGAGGGATGATCAAAAGTATGGTGAATGTCAAACAGTTTCTTTAAAAAAAATCACAGTAAATGACACATTGCCACAACTCCTCCTCAGAATCCTCCCCTCACGTCCAACACACTTATTCCACCATTTTTTGCCACTCTCTGAAGCTCTGAAGTCCTCTTTCACGAATGTCTTTAGTTGTATATTCATGGTTGCCTTGGTGTCCTGAATCAATTCAAAACGTTACCTTCCATGGTTGATTGGGAAATTACATGGTGCGAGATCTAATGAATAAGATGGATGAGGACACAGTGAGATATTTTCATGAGCCTGCCTTTCTGTTGGATCACACGCTGTAGCAGCAGTCACCATATTTTTTATTACACCTCGTGAAGACACTCATGAAAGTAGACTTCTAGAACCACTTCAGAATGAGGCAAGAAGAATGGGATTAAGTATGTTCAAAGTCGCAGGGGAATATTTTGAAGAGGAATTAATGGCAGTGTCTTTTATTGTAATACACACATTTATTTTTTACCTCAACACATATTTTTTGATCATCCCTTTGTATTTGTCCCTCTCCTCAGTCTTTGTTGCCATGACCCCCACCCCCACTTCAGGATATGCCAAGACAGGGTGGTTCCCACCCGCTGGGCAGCTCTGCAAGCAGCCTGTGTCCAGGGCTCAGGACAGGTGCTCGGGTGTGGGACAAACTTTCATTAAAGAAACTATGTTTAAAGGCTGGAAGGAGAACAGCTCTGGCCCTGGCCCAAATTCACCCTAAGGCAGACTCATGGGGAGACAACCATGCTCTTGGATCCTGTGGTCCAACTCCCTGGGGCGTGTGGCTTAATCCTTCAGCCAGAGCACAGAGTTCTGAGAGTTCCTAGATGTCCACCTGCATGGCTCAGGAGCTGCTTGCTCTAGACAGGGATAGATAGGCTGCTGTGGGCAAACAGGAAAAGTAGGTCAGCTTGAAGCCTGGTTCTCCTGTGGCAACAGCAGAGCTCCAGTGACGTGAGTGCGAGGCCTGGCCCAGCCCCAGCCTGGTGGTCCGGCCAGCTCCAGGTGGCAGACGGGAGACTGGGTAAGAGGGAAGTCCAAAGAGCCCGCGAGAGGTAGCTCTTAAAACAAGAAAATCCAAACCAGACCATACGCACTGCCACTTCCCTGCTGTGGAGAACAAATGGACTCTCATCTTCACAGTGGTGTTGAGGGCCACTGCATGGAAACAGACACATGCGGTGACAGTGGCACTGTAGCTCACCTTCCTCCTCCACCCACATTCCCAACTCCCACATCTGGCAAGCTGGGTGCTCCCTAGGGCCGCCAGACTGTTGGGCACTGGGCTGCCCCAGGAGGAAGTCACTGCCCTGCTGTGCCTGTCACTGGTCTGGGCTGCAGATGCAAGCACCACCCCACGCGCCTCTGGTTTACAAGTGGACAGAGCACCAGGCACTCTGAGGGCCATTCCCCCAAGGCCAGGTGGCCTAACCTGCCTCCTGGAGCCGGTGCATGGAACCAGGTCACCTTAGGAAGATGCAGCACACACCTGCTGGGATGATAGGACCCCAGCTCAGCCCCCAGATGGCACCTGGACTGCCACCCCCCTCCCCCGAGTTTCCCAAGAGACCCCAGGCCTCAGGGACAGGATCTGTACAATGCAGATTTGTGTAATATCATAGCCTTTCTTCTCGGATGCAGGGCACTGTTTTCTCTGAATTTCATTTCTAACACAAATAGATGAGAAGGTTTTGTCGTCAAATCCTTTAGAAACGTTCCAATCTAAAAACCCAGGGCTTCAGGAATGTTCACTCAAAGGCTTTCCCAAAGTGACCTTCTGAAAAAGTTTTCCCTGGCATTTGTAAGGACTAAAGGGTAGATGTCAGTGCCCTCTTCCTTCTTCCTCCTCCCACCCCATGGCCTTTGTTGAGTATCAGATGATAAATGGGATCCCTCACTGAGAAGAGAAATGCGAATCCGCTGCCAAAGAGGCGGTGGGGAGATCTGAGTTCAGATCAGGACTCTGCCATCAAAACAACTGGATTATCAAGGAGCTCTCTGCCTCAGTTTCTCCCCATCCCCTAGCAGATGTGAAATCTAAAGACACAACACCTATAGAGCACCTAGAATGTGAGACACAGGGTAAAAGCTCAAGTGATTGCTTTTATCACAATCCAGGAACAATTTCAAAGGTGTAGAGAGCTCTACATCTACACACCAAATCATAAGCAGGGTCATCATTTCTAAAGTTCAAGAGAGTCACCAGGTACTAGGGAGCCTGCAAAGCCAGTCCTTTTAAAGGCACGTTGCAATCCAAAAGGTTGCCCGACCATTAGTTCACATAAAGTATTTTTCGGAAGAGCTAGTGGTAAACAACATTTCTGTGAACTGAGTCATCCCTCCACATGGCTCTGAGCCTGCTAATTGGAGGAGGGTGGAATCCCACCCACCCGCAGCCAGAGCCTTCTGACAAACTCTGCCGCCCAATAGCTGTCTTGACAAAGCAACCACACCTGGTCTCTAGGCAACCACAGCTGACTGCAATTTTTTTTTTTTAATTTCGCAATTTTGGTTAAAATGGGGAGAAACAGTTGGATTCTTTTAAAATTTTAAATAGGTTTCCATGTTTAACCAAATTTAATAAAGTGAAAGTTAAATTGGCCACGCATTAGTACTGGCTACTATTCAAAGTGTTTTTTACTGTAACAGCATCATCTCAGAGTATCCCACCACTTGTTACTTAGGCAGTTCAACAGATGTCACAGTGTTAAACTCTTATCTGTGCCTAAATGAAGTCCCATAGTTTTCAATTCTTAGCGCATGCTGAGTTACCAAGTCCACAAAAATCTGTCAGATTTTTTAGAGAACTAAGTTGTCATTTCAAAGACACACACAAACACACATACACACAGATATTATACACTTAAACAGTAATTTCATTCTCTTAAAACTTATTCAAAAGAAAAGGAAAACAGTAAATAAATCAGAAGATATGTGGTTTAAATAAAAACAAAATTTTCTCATTGTTTTCTGAGAAAGAAGCAATACTTATAATGTGTT